CGCACACACGCACGCACCGAGACGAAGAGGTCTTTGTTGGATATATTTTTTTTTTAACTTTATGCTTTTCCCTGTGGGTTTTTTTCTTTTTTTTTCCTCTCTTTTCCCCTTCCCCCTTCCTCTCTCCCCCCGCGTCCAGGTTGGATCAACGGAATGGAGAACAGCACGCAGGCCAGCGCTTCTGTCGAGAAAAGAAATCACCATTGGAGAAGTTACAAGTTGATTATTGACCCGGCTCTGAAAAAAGGACAGCACAAACTCTACCGTTACGATGGGCAGCATTTCAGCATGCCGGTGAGCGGGTCCCGGGTCCCCTTTGTGCCGTGCCCCTGTCCCTCGGCCGGGGATCCCTCGGTGCTGCGGGAGGGACCCGGGGCACACGCCAGAGTTACTGCCACCTGACACTGTGTGTTGACTGTCAGGAGCCGGAGAAGGAGCCCAAACCTGCGGCTTTTTCCCCGTGTTTCCAATCTCTGTGCGTTTCCCAGCAGTATTGCAATTTGACCCGTGTGTGTGTGTGTGTGTGTGTGTGTGTGTGTGTGTATGCTTTCCCTTCCCTTGAGACAGCCCGTGCTTCCTTGGGGTTTATTTTTTCTTTCATTTTGTGTCTGAAATTTCAAGCCCTGTTCTTGCTGTTTCTGTTTTCCCTCCTCCTCCCAGAACTCGGGAATTGCTCCTGTGGATTGTGTCAGGGATCCCAGAATAGGGCGAATATGGACCAAAACTAAGGAGTTGGAGCTGTCTGTCCCCAAATTCAAGGTATTGCCCTGACTTTTGGGTTTAGCTCTGTATCATTGTTTATCTGGGAGTGCAACCTCAGTTCTGAGTAGTTTAATGGGCCGTTTAACTGACAGTCATATTCCTATTAACATTGTTATTTAGCAAACTGTTTAACAATAATCCTCTTCTGTAAGGATAATGAGGAATCGATGCATCTGTCTAACGAGCTCACTTGAAGGTTTTGGGGCTGGGGCAGGGGCTGGTGGAGGGGAGCTCTGTGCTGACAGTACTTAAAATACCTCGTTGTAGCCCAGGCAGGAGCCGGTTCCGAAGAGCGGCAGTGGCAGAGCCTCTGCACAGCTCTGAGGTTCATCCCAGAGCCCGGACAGGTTTTTTTTTTCCCCAGCAAAGTTTGCAGGACGCTTTAACTCTCTCCCTCCCGTGCCCCTAATCCTTGGGCCCCAGTTAACAGTGCTGATGGTTTTTATCACCCCCACCCCGTGCCCCTTTCCAGATTGATGAGTTTTACGTGGGGCCAGTGCCTCCCAAGCAGGTCACCTTTGCCAAGCTGAACGACAACATCCGCGAAAACTTTCTGACCGACATGTGCAAGAAATACGGCGAAGTGGAGGAGGTGGAGATTCTCTACAACCCCAAGAACAAGAAGCACCTGGGCATTGCCAAAGTCATCTTCGCCACTGTCAGGGGCGCCCGGGAGCCTCCGTCATGGGCAACATCATCCACGTGGAGCTGGACACCAAGGGTGAGGGCGCGGGGGGCGGTCCTGGCGCTCGCGTGGGGCAGAGAGTGTTGTCAGTTGCTAAGAG